GATTGATTATAGTGAGGAAAATGCGCTGAGTCGTCGACCTCACTCTCCCTTCCCATTCCCACACCCCAGCCACTGTCCGAGCCTGTCAGTAGACTGGAGTGGGGAATGGGCGCGGTGGCTGACATGGTCGACTGACCATGCCTGCGCGCGCCACAGCACGACCTGGCCCCCCATACACACAAACACCAGGATTTCACACAACGGGGGTTGAACGGCGTGTCTCTCACTTGCGTGAGAGTGCCGTGGAAGGTGCTGTTGCAGCCCGTCCCCAGCCCACCAGTCCGCCACTCCACACAACACACACACACACACACACACACACAACGTGACGAACTGCGTGAACCGAGAGCGGGCCTCAATCAACAACCTTCCTATCCACGACACTTGACGTGTCGGGATAGTCTTGGACACAGGTCACCCGTGCAGCCGAAACCGCATTGGGACCGAATCGAGATGCACACTTCCCACTTGCGTGGGAGGCGGCAGTTGAGTGCATGAGGTGTGTGAGGGTTGATGTCTGGTGGGGTGATGGTGTTAGGAGGTAGGGAGTGAGGGAATGTGTGGTGTGACCGGCGGTTGTCTACCGCAGGTCGTCGTGGATGCGCATGTGGCCGAATAGACCCATGCGATGCGTGAAGGTGCGAGGGCAGTGTGGGCAGTGGAGGCGAGTGCGGTGGGTGTAGGTTGGTGCTCCAGGCACTGGTTCGCCAGTCTCTGTGCGATGGATTCCCAAGTGACCGACTAGGCCGATGCGTGAAGTGAAGGTGCGATCGCAGTGAGGGCAGATGTAGTGCTGGCCCTCACGTCTGATGATGGAGGTTGCAGGGGTTGTGCCGGTTGTTGTGCCAGGTTCGGCTGTGGTGAAGTCGTGGGCGACAGACGCCGAAGCGGCCGTCGTTGTGGCAGTGATGGAGGAAGAGGAGGAAGGGGAGGAGTGGGAGGTGGTAAGGTCGGTGGCGTCGATGTCGGTTGGGGAGTGGTTAGTGGGTGCACAAGGTGGTGGATTGGGAGTGGGGCTTGGCGGGGTGGGTGTGTCAAGCACCTTGGCGCTCCACTCCACGCTGCCCGCTCGGCATAGCAAATGACCAGGATTTTAACCAAAGACAAAGGCGCTGACGCGGCCGAAGCCGCATCTAGGCGTGTCGCCACAGAGTAGGCGTGCCATAGAGGCTGACATAACCGGTGACCTTGTCTGCGCGCGACATGCGCACGACCTGGCCCTGCAAAGACAAGCACCAGGATTTTACTAAGCCAGGGGTCACTTGGGTTTACACATAAGCTTCACAGTTTGGGGCAAAATGCGCGCAGGGTACTCTACTTATTCTCCTCTCCGGTCCTCTTATCTCAGCCTTGTGACAGTAACTTAGTGGGGGACAGAAAGGTAAGTGGGACCGATGCTGCAAAAGTCTTCCCAAATATAACTCCGGTTCACGTCTGTGTAGCAAGAATATAACCCTCGTCGAGGACGATGCACGAGTGTGCGCGTACATTGCAAGCGTTTTGATGCTTTAACTGACAGGGGATCCAATCGAGTCGAAAGCCCTGTCAGTCAGCCCGAGCATTTGATTAGTAAGTTATTGGAAAACTACCCAGATTACCTTTGCCAACTTTATAAATGCATTTAGCTCCTGGAGTGCACAACTTAATGACCCTCGACCCCCTTATCTGCGACCCGTTTATACTCTCCAAGGTATACTTCTCAGTGTTTAATACTAGGACTGAAATGCCTACAAAGCTCGATTTACTTGTATTTTCAACAAATGCTTGTCGGGGTTCGTAGCTCCTTCTACAACGAATGCCTTTTTAGAGCAGACAATGGGAAATAAGGAGACTTTTCCCTTTCCCATGAATTCTCTTCGGGTGCTCTACCTTTGAGTTATCACAGTCACGCCTGTCAGCAGTACGAATTAATTCATATTTGCTTCGTCCTAGCCTACGCGCGAAGCTGTTTTGGTCTTAGTGGGCGTTCTATTAAGGTTTAAAAGCGATTCATTTAAATGCAGAAAACTACCGCGACAGAAACTTGACGTAGCTGATAAACTCTCATGGCTGTTTTGCAAAGCCATTCACTTTTGTGGCTTTCAGCTCCAAGAATTACATGAATACCAGTCCACCGGGAAAGCCGTTTTTGACCAGTCTAAAGGAGGACACCTTTTAAAGCAGCTTTTCGAACATTGCGACCAAGGAAGCAGTACCAACGGAAAGTGTTAGGCATGAAAACTTGAGCAGAAACCTGTCCTACGCATTTTGCGATCAACTGAAATTGAAGATCTTCCAGTATCTTCTTAGTCAGAGGTCCGATAAGTGAAAGCGTTTGTTACTGGTAAGCGGGTGCCCCTAACTGTCAAAATGAGTTATGCTTGGGGATTTGACCCAAATACTTGGAGATGCAGACTTCGGTCTTGATGGCCATCACTTCTGCACAAATCGCTCTAAGCATCGCGTGCTTTTGTGCGTGGGAGTTAAACGCAGTTTGTTGGGTCAAAAAAGCTGAAAGCGACTTTGGTACTATCTGGGGGGGGGGGGGGGGGG